CTAGACTGCTGACACCACTGATTCCTGCCGGGTCAGTTTGTTCAGACAACAAGCACAGTGCTCTTTTGTTTATCTCAGCATTCAACTGCTATTAAAATGCAGAATTTTTTTTAATTCATAGAATATCTGCTTATCAGAAATTGGCCCAGGTATTTTTAGTACTATGAAAGACAGCTAAGCTGAAACAGACAGCTTTTCCGCATAGTTCTCAACTAAAACTACGTTTAATGGAGATTCATACTGAAATAAGTCCTTAGTTTGAGACTAGACTTAATCCTTGCAGGAAATGCAGGAAACTCGAAAAAAGGAAACATTTTTATGATGTTGCAATACAAACTTAGAGTTTCAACTGACATTGTTGGCAGTGGGAACACTTGGGCGGACCAGAGGGCCATTTGCACAGACTAGATGGGCATGTGGCCCCATCTACACTAATCTGTTTTAGTTTAAAAAAGGAGAATTAAAACAAATACTATCTCAGTCCACAACAGCGTTTTAGCTTTATATCAGAGTTGATATTATAGTCTATATTAAAACCACTGAAAACCTTTATATATAGTCTATGCTGAAAACGCACATCTAGTGGCCAATCACATCAGAGCCAAATGTGAGCGTCTGCGTCATTGTTTCTAAAGTCATATGTTTTTGCCCGTCTTCACTAAAACGCCCTCTGGAGCTTTAAAACGAAAAACGGGGTCGGCAGCGCATTCAAACTAAAAGCTATTTTAGTGTGGACGGGAGGTGCAAACGTAGCAAAAAGTCATTTTTAAAACAAAAACGCAGTAGTGTGGATGGGGCCTAAGAGGGCACTTGGTTGAACTGGACAGACACTTACATTGACTAGTAAGCCACTTGGACAGACCTCAGGGTCACTGGCACAGACTAGAGGCAATTGGCACACCAGAAGTGCACTTGGGTGGACTAGAGGGAGATGTGGCCCAACAAGAGATGCACTTGGCTGACCATAAGGGTACCTTATGAATCCAAAGTGCTCCCATAAGGTAGGAAGAGCCAGTTTTCTCTGCACGGACTTACTGTAAGACACACACACACTGCTGTCAGGACAACACTGCTAGTATCAAAAACCTATAGACAAGTGTGTGTGTGTGTGTGTGTGTGTGTGTGTGTGTGAGTGAGTGAGTGAGAGACAGTGTAGGTGCGTGTGGTCAGTATGCCCTTCAACCAGAGAAGAAAGCAAATATGTGTGCCATTTTTAGAGACAGAAAACCACAGTATGTGTATGTGTGGGTGTGTGTCTCTGTTTGTGTGGGTGTGGGTGAGGTCTCTGACCCCCTGCCTTCCCCCCTGGCAAGGACTGTAAATGTCAGCAGGGGTTGTTTAGGCCGTTAGGAGACTCGTTAAAACCATGCCATCCGTAGATTTACGCACTGGCTCTACAATTCACACAAACACACACACACACAAACACAAGAAAACACATACAATGTCACTCCACTCTCTCTCTCTCTCTCTCTCTCTCTCTCTCTCTCTCCCCTTGTATAATTTTTTCTCCTCTCTTTCTCTACAACACAGACACACAGACTCTCTGCTATCCATCAATTTTTGTTTCTCTTTTCATCTTCTTTTACTGCCTCCCTTTCATAGTCCCCTGCTCATACAGACATAACATTCACTTAACTGCAGACTCCACGTAGACCTGCTGTCACACACAAACAGACAGACAGACACACACACACACATGTGCACACGCATGTGCACACCCACCCACACACACACACACACACACACACACACACACACACACACACACACACACACACACACACACACACACACACTCAGATGCAATGGCAGCTGAATGTGTTGAGTTTATATGTCTGCCATTCCACAGAAAACGTAAGAGCAGAGGAGCACATATTTCATCTGAGCTCCACGGGGCCACCGTAGGGGTGTGTGTGTGGTCAGTAAATACACAGGGGAGGGAAATAAGACACACACACACACACACACACACACACACTTACACAAACTCACAGCCTCTGCTCTTTGTCATCAGTCTCTCACATTGGTCAACTTCTCTCAAACACTCCCCCCAAACCACCACAATTTGGAAATGTCACCAGCCTTTAGAGAAATATACAACAGGCGCTTTGAGACAACATTATGGTGGACTTAATGGAAACAAGGAATTACACCTCACACACACACACACACCATTATGTCACATAAATATAGCCCTGGAGATTTATTCCCATGAGCATTTTAGTAATAGGGTAGTTCTGGTTTATTTGGGCATTTTATTAAACTATTAAATAATCTGTTTATATGACTTTCTGGGAGATAAACCCTCTACCTGAATCATAATTTTAATATATACCATTACTCAAACAGCTTATCAAGCTGTGTTGTTTTCCAGCCAAAAAAAGACATTTTTCATCCCCAAAAACGTACCTATTGTTGTCCACTGACGTAAACAAGTAAACAATTAAAATTATTAATAAGGCTGTCCAAATGGCAGCACAATTCATTTTAATTTATATTTACAGTTGTGCCCTAAATTTTCAAGGGCAGTTTTGTGTTTAGCATAGGCTAGTTTCTGAACCTGACACAGACACACACATACCACAACCACTACACACACACACACACACACGCTAACACAGAGCATTACACACAGAAAACACAAACATAAGTGACAACTTTGCCCAGTTCTGTGAAGGCTGAAGGGGGAAATTGTGCCATCTGCCAGTAAACGACAGTCATTTTATCCCTACTGCTTGTCCATCTGTGGACGTGGGGAACTCTGCTGGAGGCCAGGGGGCCGCAGGGTCGACAAGACGCAAGCTGGAGATGCTTACCATACACAGAGGCCGCTGTATGTGAGCTTCACAGCCTTCTTTACCTCCTTATAGTATAGTAAATTCAAGGACTTCAGTACTGGAGGATACTGTTGTTCCTGAAGCTTAAAGAAGATAAGCAACCATCAAGCATGAGTTTTTCTATTTTGGAGTCTGACCATGAGATTCAGTATCTAAGGTTTCTAAGACTGCATGATTTCAAGATTTTCTTAACAGATAGTTTTTTTAAAAATCAGTCCAAACAGAGGCAACAGAGTACCAGATCAACGTGAGAAAAGCTAATAAATAACAGCTGCTTCTGAGTAAAAACCTTTAGCTGGATGGTAATTAATCTTAGACATTTAGTGATTTCATGTCATGAAGGACGTTCTTTCAAATCAAAGGAGAACAAAACTGTCTGAAAAGGCCAATACATTAGTCTAACCAACAACTTTCCTTCTCACCAGAAAACATCTCTAATGGAAACATGGCTGCACATGTTGCACCTGACCATCTTCTTCACATCCAATTAATCATCATACCTTAACATGACAAACATGAGCAACTTAAAACAATATCCTCTTCAGAACGATGTGCCCCGGCTATATTTGGCCATGTCTGCATACCGTGCAGGTACACAGAGATCACAGCCTGAACACTCGCCACCCCGAGGGGTTTAAAAAAAACACACTCTCTTTGGACGATGCCAAGCATGATAGGCTGTGATGGCTCCCAGCAGGGAAGGCAATCAGGCGGGCAGAATCACAACACGTCTATTGTAACATTGGGGTTTTACATGAGAGAGGGCAGGGGGGGCAGAAAAAGGAGAGGAGAGGGATCTCTTGGCTATAAGAGTGGAATTCACACACAGGTAGAGGTCCTGCCAGATCAGCCTGATGCAGAGCTGTTTAAATCTTCTGGGCCAAGTCCATGTCAAACTGTACGTCCATGTTACACACACACACACACACACACACACACACACACGAGTGTAACTCGGCTTGCATAAGATGCTGGGTCCTCTCCAGAAAGTGCCCGGCTCCTTGTCTTTCTTAAAGCAGTGTAGCGTGTATAGTGTGTCAAAGACTCATTTTAAATAACTCTCACATAAAAAGAAAAAGGGAGGGGGGAGAGAAAAACAACAACTTGGCTAACGCCTCAGAAAAAGATTACTCTGCTGTGTTTTTTTTGCGCAATACGGCGAGATTAAAGCAAACACAGTCAACGTTTACTTTGGATTGATCTTTGGGTATTTTTCTGCCTCCAGAACAAAGAGGGAAAATCGTGCTAAGCTCAGCGAACCAAGAAGAGTCCAATTAAATCCTCCTCGTAAAAAAGACCACATTCATATAAACAATAAATGTTCCTTTTGAAATGCCCCTATTTGAAGTGATGAACACACAGAAAACTGAACATGGTTCTAAGCAGATGTCATATTAGCATGGAAAATGAAGCAAAGAACAATTGAGGAAGAGAAGCGAATGTATATGAGCAGCTAAACATTGTCTTTCATGTTTTTGGACAAGCACCCTTTCAGGCTTCTTTTATCCTGGTTTATGACAGAGTGCAATGCCAACTTGAGGAGAATTATTCTGGGCTGTGTTTTGTTGTTGTGTTGCAAGAAAAGTATCACATTAAGTTTTCTTTTCTCTCAAAGACGCGTGTTTGTCCGACTAAGTCCAAAACCAGAAGATATTATATTCACAGTGATATAAGACGAGAAAAGTAGATAAACCTCTGGAAAACTGCTGGAAAACATTCAATATTTGGCGTTTTTGCTTGCTTAATGACAAATAAATCAATTAATCACCTAAACATTTCACCACAATCAACAACAAATTAGAACATGTTCTCAATGAAAAGTTGTTCATGTTTCTTTATGTATTTAATTCTTGGACTTTGAAGAAACAGCATCATTGTAGTATAACAGCCATGATCCCTTGAGGAACAATTTCTACTCAGTTTTGGCTGTGATGTTAACAGAAAAGGTTTCTTTCCTCTGAGTCAGCTGATTACTACTCTTGAATGAAGTATCAAGCAGTAACACCATGATTGCATTTCATGTACTACGCTGTTTTTTTGTCTTGAGAATTGTCAAGTTGCTTCAAAATGTTGCAGGAGTTTTCTGGTGTCTGTGAACTGATCATTGCATTTTCTTGAAAATAATCACTGGTTGTTGCAGGACTATGCACAATGTCTTACCTGTGGGCTGAGCAGTGGGCAGCCTGGCTGGAGTGACGCAGAGAGGCAGGAGGAAGGAAAACCAGAGTGAGCACCACAGAGCAGTCATTCCTCTGGACGACGAGGTGAGAGCAGCAAGGCCCGACTCAGACTCAGACAACATCCTCCGTTCGCATACTGTCCAACAGAAGGGCGGCCTCCAACGCCGCAAGAAACTATCCAACGACTCCCCGCTGCTAACCTAAAAAACAACAGACATGAGGAAAAATCAATTGGAGCTGAATAGTAGAGAGATGTCTGGATGTTCGTCATGAGATTTGACTAAAGCCAAATATGCAACCAGGCAGAAAAATAAACAAACTCTGAAATAAGAAAAATAAGATTGCAAATTAAAGACAGTACAAAGAAGCAACTTGGGGTCTGCACAAATGCAACGTTATTCTGACCTGACATTCCACACAGATTTCAAGGATTAGGGTGGAAATCCCTCACAGTTTTTCTCAGAATCTTTCTCAGAGCACCTGATCGTTAATCAAAGAGCTCAAGAAATCTTTTGTAGCATTCCCCCAACCTAAAATACAAGTTTATTCACCAATCAATTAACTTGCTGCAACAGGATTAGTTGATGAGACACATTATTTCAGACCTAAACAGCCTGTCATTCCTTCCACAGGACTCTTTTCTGCTTGAGAAACTCTTCTGCATGGTTTAGCAACCGATTGACACGGATTCACTAATCTTCCTGCAGGATGGGGAATGGCAAAGTCTACAGTCTAAGAAGTCTATCAGTTGCCCAACGTGCCCAGCGGCTTGTAGAAGAAGGAGGGGGAGGGAGTGTTACGGCTACGGTGAGCGACGGCAGAGTGCTCTGCCCTCTGTTTGCTTAAGCAGGGAGAAGCTGGAATGCACTGAGGTTCGCGGAGAAAGCTCTGAGCAAGGTGCCCAGAAAAGCAAAGCACAAACCCCCCCCCACGCACACACACACACACACACACACGTGCGCACGCGCACACACACACACACACACACACTGTTAGTTTAAACTTTAGCGGCTCTGTCCAGCTTCAAAATAGCCTTGGCTGTGAGACGTCCACCCCAACAAAAACACACGCACAGGTTCGGCCAACACACACGCAACCATTTCAGAGTGGGCTAAGCTTGCACACACAGAGGTGTATTGTACACACACAGTCCAGAGAAAGGTTGTGTTGTCTTAAGTCTTAACAGTACTGTTTTTCTTTCTCTCAGAGGACCTGTGACCCACTCCTTGCTCAGCACAAATTGTAACCCAGGCCGGCTCTGCGAGGCTCTGTTTGCACATTATCACTCTTCCAACACAGAAAACGGCAACTGGGAAAACTTCACAAGACACAAATGAATAGATAAAACAGTAGAAACACACACATACAGAGTCCTAATCTAAACACTGCCACTGCACCTTTCATGCTTCAACATATTGAAGCCTTTCATGTTCTCTATAGGCACTTCAGGGAGCGCTTCTTCCTGTCTCAGCCCATCCTCACCTTCTTACAACACAAAATGCCTACATGCTGCTGCGGTTTGTTTATATAGCATGATAAGGCCTTCGCTCTCCAGGCGTAGAGGTAGCTGATTGCAGGCCTCTCTGATTTGAAACGTTTGTTTTCTCTGGCAGGCACAGACACACATGAAAAAAATCTCAGCTTTTTGTGGGCACTTCACATTGAGAGCTGACAAAGCTTCGGAGTTGTTCATGTCAACATGCAGATCTGTTTAGACAAGTAAAATGACATGTGCCAACTGAGAAAAAACTGGAAAACAATACAGGCTTTTGTCTTGACTAATGTGGTGACAGGTAGTTACAACTACCTCGTGAACAAACTGAGTCCTTGAATTTGAGGAGCAGTCAAGTGTTGGAGCATGATTGATAGCGTTAAACTCAACTAAGAACTTTTTACACCAACACGGACATGCTGAACATTGGACATAAACTCTAGAGAGCCAACTAAAAACTCTTTGATTTCACTTAACAACCTCAAGAAGCAGAGAAGAAAAAAAGGAGGCGGCATGGATCCCGAAGACCCAGTGAGGAGTTCAAAGCCTCCAAAGTGTTTTCATGCTAATATTTTCTTTAAGCATGAAAGGGAAATACAACCACTGCGGTGAATAATACATGAACATTAATCATGCAGAAGTATCTTCACATTGTAATAGCTCGGAGGCAGAAAAATGTTTTAACCGGGGTTCAAATCCCTGTCATCCCTCTCCCCTTAGTAAGGATCAATGCGAGGCGGTCACATGCTAGTCACACCTCTCCAGAGTGTCAGTAATCTTTAATAATTAAGCCGGAAAATCAACAGCCGGGCCCGGATCAACTTTGTCATTTTGGGAAAAGGGGATTAGAGGTTTTTGGAAGAGCACAAGTGCAAACAGCAACTGGGCAGAGGGTAGATGGGTAGTGGAGAGAAAGACAGACGGACACTCAAGCGGGTAATCTTCCATATCAGTGCCGATTTCTTCTCGTACCCCTTCTTTCAAATGTCTCTAATTTATTGCCGTCTCTCTGCTGCTCACCTTGTCTCCCTTTATCTTGTCCTCTCACTACTCCTCCCAGCCTTTATCACCACCCTCTTTTCAAAGCACACTCAAACACACCCTCAGGTGTCAAGAGATATTGATCAGCAGAGAGGCAGAGAGAGCTCTGCATTTTAAAGCTGTCAGAGGTGAAGTGTGACTCCAGGTGTAAAACGCTGCAGGCTGTGTCATGTGTCCTACACCGCACATGTAAAAGACGGTCGACGCATTTATCTTCTGCATGAAATATAAAGATAAGAATAAGATAAGATATAAGAAATACTATAATAAAACACAGTAAATAAACCGAAGAATGGGTTGACCAAGTGCTTAAGACACAGATAACTCTCTTTGAGACTATATTTTGAACATTAAAGCAGATACCATGGAAAATGAAAATGTCATAAAGCTTAATAAGATTGTATATAAACTCGTTTTTAACTGCCTCAGATACATTACAAGACCTAATAGGGATATTATAGTGAAGCTATAGGGAAATGCCATTAAGTGCTATAGTGCCACTGTAAACTGTCTTTTGAATTTTATGAAGCAGTATGAGGTCCTATAAAGAAAAATGGGACTTTTAAAACAAAAATACTAAGAATTAAGTTCATCACTAAGTATCAAATACATATTCTAAGAGACAAAGTCCCAGAGAGAATAAGATGTAAATCTGCGAAAGGACAGATAAGGTCACTGCTGCAACATAAGTTTTTATTATTGGAATGTGAAATATCTGCTTTTCTTCTCAAATTAGACAAGTTAGAGTCAATTAATGCAGTATTCCCCTCTTTATAAAAGAGCAGAAGAAAAAAGGCACCCAAAACTCCACGCAGGGGGATAGTCTCGGGCCAATTTTGGTAATGAAAAGAGGCAATCAGAGTCTCATTTGGAACCGAAATGTGTCTGCAGCTCGCCTCTGATTGAAAACGCTGCAAACTGGCATGCGTTATTTCTCGGGTCAATAGATACAATTAATTTGCAGCATTAGCCCAGCTATTATCATGCGCACGCTTGTTTTATGGCTCCAGAATTTAATAGGATAATGCAATACAAGTCCCAAATCTCATTTCAGCCCCCTTCTCCTACGATGCTATAATCCGGTAATTTTCTCCGGTGATGACTTTACATGGTGGGAGTCAAAGCTGAGCTGAGTGGCCAAAATCACCATCTGAATCCCATTGCAGCGCATGTGTTTGAAGAGGGGATGACTGATCCGCTGCTGAGGGGAGAGAACCGCACGGTTCGTTCATTCAAAGGGAGGGAGAAATCTGCTTTCTGGAGAAACTTCAGGGATGATCCGAGGCATTAGGGAGTGCGACTCTGAAAGAGGCTGATGTGTAATTCATATTTCTGCTCCTAACTAGAAAAGACGTCACTGTTGCAGTGAGAAGAAAAGGCGTGTTCATCCAAACGAGCATAGGATGGCGATGAAAGTCAATATTTCACTTTTTGAGAGTGAAATTATTCATGGAAACGTTTCATTTATGATGAATGGAAACCAATCTCAGATTAGACGAACCAAATGGGCATCCTCAACCCACCCGATAGAGAGATAAACGTGCGTAATTTCATACATACATCTGCCCTTTCTTAAAATTCTGCCACTTGCTTTCACATATTTTCACTCATTTCAGGACTTTTTCTGGAAACCATAGTGCAAATATCTTAATTGGACAGAATGAGGCGAGTCACTGCGTTCATAATGAGAATTTGGCTCCATCATTTGCCAATTCCAGGGGGGGTGGAGAGTCATTTTCAGCCTCGCTGCGTACGTAATTTCAGTTACTTGCGCCACATATAATGCAGCCAGCATTAATAAGCTAATAAACAGAGAGCCATGAGCGCTTTCTCCAAACCAATAATATGCGCAGAAAGAGTCCTCAGACTCCGGCCAAGGTGCGCCGATTGCGCACAGACCTGGGAAGCACGAGCCGTTCCTTCTGCGGCACCTGTGCGACTGCACGGCGCTGGAGCTTGTCCTGCAACTCCACGCTTCACACATAGTCTAGTACAACACGACAACTCTACTCTGAGAGACTGGAGAGCTCTACCTGTCAGACCTACATATACAAGGAAGTGAAACTGTTTCTTTCTCTCATGCCTCAGAGGCTGCAAATAGTTGTTCGTAAATAATAATACTACTAATAATAAGCTTCTTACCCAAAGTATCCCGTTCTGACAGCAAATCTCAGCCTTTTAGATGTCACCAAGCTTTCAGAACGAGAGAAACTGCCGTTATTATCCTGTAAACTTCATAAAACTCCACAAGACTACTTTAAAATCCGTAATTCCTCGCGCTTCACGGAGCAGTTTATCAACAGTGGAGGAAAAAAGTCAGAAATCCCCCTTAAGACTTGACAGCGAGAGTCCTCGGCTCGGGCACCGCCGTTGCGAAAGCCAATTTCTCCACTAAATCCTGTTTTCCACTGCGCGCTGCTGTCCAAAATTTCCAAACCTCCACAATGCGTTCATCCTGTCGTGCACGGGGCAGTGTGGATGAGGAGGACTGGAGTGAAGTGAACGCGGCTCTTCGCTCCTCTCCTGCGCGGATGCCAGTCGTTGAGTTTTGTCGCCTCGGGTCAACTAACTCGGACTGGTGGCTCTCCACCGCGGGCTGCCTGTGAAGTAGGAGCTATACGGTGCTGCCGTCAAGAGAAACCAGCTGGGAGACAGGAGGAGTTCCCGTTTGCACCTTCAAAATAAAGTCTTAGACGCCGACCCAGTGATGAAATGCTTTTTCTGAACGCTTAATCAAATGCTAAACATATTTGAAGTGGAATATTTCGTAAACAAAATACATTTTTTTTAACTTAAAATGATGCCTGGTATATTCTAAATTTTTTATCGTCTAAAACAGTTATTTTAAAATATAGAACATAAGAAAACCAAAACACCAATAATGTCTTTAATTTTTAACGATATATTTTTTATTTTTCATAATTCACCCTTACATAATTTGCTTCCTTGTTTTCTTGTCACTTGAATCACTTATTTTATGAACTTTTGAAAGCAATTTCTTGCCACTGTTTTAAAATGTGATAAGAGATAATGACAACCATAACTCTGAACCAAATAAGAAACATGACAGCAATTGTGTGCGTAAATGAAAAGTAAGATAAGTAGCTTATGTAATATCACATTCTGCCACAAAAACAGGCTGCAGAAAATACTTTTATTTTGAAGACCCAGCCGTCACATGCGTTTCATAGTGTGTTACATGTGTGTGCGCGCGCGCCTGTGTGTTGCCGACTTTACGCAGCTTTCCTCTCCAGTCCCACACCGGTTCGGAATGCGTCCGCCGGGCTGAGCGCCGCCGGGACTAACAGCAGCAGCAGGGGGAGGGAGATCAGATTTCGGCGCGCCTGCCCTCCGGGACCGCTGGAGGCAGCAAGCGCCTCCCATCTCTCCTTTAACTTTGTTCAGAAAAACTCAATCAAGCTAGACCTTATTGCAGAATGCAGAGCTGCTGTATGAGCCTAAATATGAATTCTGAATGCTTTACAGTCATTTGTGGCCAGTGTGGGGTTTGGGAACCACAAGGGGACACGGAGGGGCCTCTAGGCTGTCTTTGGGAAAAAGAGAAATATGCTATTATGTCACTCTGCTGAATTTTATCCACTGAGCAAATGTCTAGAGATAGTTACGTGTGACCAGTAAATACCCACGTCTTTTTGGTTATCTCCAGCAGTAGCATTAGGAGAAAAAATTCTGCAGGGATCAGGAGGCCCAGAGCAGCACAGGGGCCCTGGAACATGTCAGGGATTAGAGATCATTTTTGTGTGTGGTGGTGTATGAGAGCTGTTTTTAAACTATTCACTTGTCACATTCTTAACAAGTGACCAGTATTTCTAATGAAAGTTATTTTTGTACCAAACAGACAAAGTGTGTTCTACTCAGTGACCTGCATGAATGTGTCCTCTTGGGTACAGGTTATCCAATCGTAAAGATGCTAATTAACCTCATTTAATGTCTTGCATTGCTGTCATCTTATTTGATGCTTGGTTGACCGTTACTGATTTTGAAAAAAATGTTACACATATTCATTTCTTTTATTGCTATACTGTAACTATGACATTCCTATAACCCATTTCACTACTGTTAATTGTTACATAGCAAATCATTGTTAAAGTGACTTAGGCAGATTTGCTGTTCAGTCATTAGAAGATTGTAGCCAATGTTTGACCAGTCTGCCCTAGAGTGTGCTGAGTGAACAGTAAATTACCATTAACCACCCATTTAATCTGCCATATACTGCAGCCTTTGGGCTAATTACTGTTGTCAGGACAGAGGTGATAGCACTCGACGGTGCTTTAAACAACACGCCAATTACTGTCATCTAAACTGTGTTTTGAGAAGGAAACTTTATGACACCATAAAGCAGAGCAGCCCTCTGCAAAGTGACTGTGAGGAGGCTGGATGGAGTGTGCCGCTGTTGTCCATCTGTGTTTGCCCAGCGGATGTGGGCTCTTCACTGTGATTTGTGACAATCTACGTCAACACCTCATAAATAGCGTGAAAAGGAGGAGCATCATCGGGTAGATATATTTATTTGGTTTATATCAGTGTAAATTGTTTGGATTTGGGACTATTAACAAAACAAGTACATTACGTTGGACTCTGAACTTGTGATTTTTCTCCATTTCTAGATCTTTCATGGACTAAATCAGTGCTTTAACCATTTTTATTTGTGATTTAACATGAAGCCAAGTCCACTTGAGACACCTCATATATGTTTACAAGATTCATCTTGTGAACCTTGTGGTTGGGAACCATATGGGATTAAACAATTCATCTGTTAATCATCAGTCAGGTCCCAGTTTTAGAAATGTTGATTTCGGTCATTTGAAATACGTACTTTGGTTAACATGAGGCATCCAAATACTTGCCAGACATTTCCTTCGACCATATATCAGATATTTTTAGAAAAATACAAAATTTCCAATGTACTTACCACATAGATGTTAACCTGTATGGTATTTACCAGATGTAAAATTATAATTACAGTCATTACCATATAACCTGAAAAGCATGTGACTGTAAATCTGTTTCCTCCATCCTTGCCTTTGTCCCTTTGTATCTTCAGTCTAATTATACCTTAATAACATTTTCAAAACTGGTTCTATGGTCGCATACTACATCTACTCCACATATTTGGTATTTAATCAACTAAATGGCTCAAAACTGAATGATAATTACAATCAACATTTTTACAGTAGCTATAAAGAGTATACAGCCCCCCCTTTTCATGATATTTTCATGTTTTATTGTTTTACAGCATTGACTCTAAGTACATTAAATGTTTTTTTTTACGAAGACCAAAAGAAAAAGACTCTTCAATGTCAAGTAAAAGCAGTTTCTACAAAGTGATATACATTTTATAAACAAAAATAAAACACAATATACTTGTTTGCATTAACATCATCACTGGTGCAAACAATTGGTCTCACAGCTCCTTCAACAATGCAGCCCGAAGTGCTCAAGAAGTCATTCTCTCTCTAAAGTTATGGAAAATTCCTTTATAAACTACACATACAGGTGATGTTGCTTCAGTGCTCAATCTCATGGGAAAGTCAAACGGAGAAACAACAAGCCATTCTCATTAAAGTGAAAGTGAAGAAGAAGAGGGCAGACTGATGATGAAGGCGACTCCGTGACCCTTTGGACTAAAGCGCTCTGTGAGAAACGCCGGTGGGAGGGAGGCAAGCTCGGGAACAAAAGCCAGTCGGTCAGGAGGAGAGGTCATACAGATGGTGAGAATGCTCAGTCAGACAGCTCGAGTACTGATGGGCAAACTGACCAAATGACCTCTTCACACACACACACGCACACACACGCACACACACACACACACACACACACTCTCTCTCCTCTGCTCTCCATAACTGCTCATGTTAGTAGGAAAAACAAAACTCCTCCCCGCACCCCCGCAACACCCTACCTTCTAATGAACACACAAACACATGTATGTAGAGACACACACACACACACACACACACACACACACACACACACACACACACACACACACACACACACACACATTCCTCATTCCCTAGGGAACAGATCAGCAGGAGATGAAAGGTGAGGCCTTTTCATTTAAAATTGAGTTAAAAATTAAACAATAACAAAAAAGCCTCAGAGTTTAGTTTTATTACTAAGCCGCAATGTTCCAAAGAGGAAAACATCCATGAAATGTGAAAACTTCTTCTGCCCAGAATATTATTTGGATGTTGTTATCAGCATGCATAGTTTCATTGATAAACCTAAGACGCTGGCATTGACTGTTGTCTCTCTGGGCTTGGTGCGTGTTGCACATTGCCCGTGTTGGCAATAACCAATTGACTCGCGCTAGCTTTGTCTGTGAGAGGTGGACAAAAGCAGCAGGACTAATCATTAACACGAGTGATTCTGGCCAGACAAAGATGCATGAAGCACAAAGGGAGGGAGTTGATCAACTGAGGCCACTTCACACTCAACTATATGCTGCTCACTGTTCTGTGCGACTGACCCAGATACACACTACACAACTGTCACAGTTCGTCTCTGGTGCTGTCACACACAAACATACTGTATACCAGTGGTTCCCATCATAGGGGTTGGGAACCCTCCAGTGGGTCACGGGGTCTGGGAAGTAAAAACACTAAATATTCATTTTCTTCTGACTAATGTTTGCTTTGCGTAGTTGGTTTCACTTAAAGGTTATATCAGTTATTTTTTTAAAAGGTTTTTGAAATTGGTCCTGTAGATCACCCCAGCTGGTCGTGGCAAAAAGGGCTGCAATGCTGCAACGTAATCATTCCGTGCAATTATGCCCTGTCAAGTACGTCCACTAAAATGCTTGTTTTTGTGACTGACAGGCTCAGATTGTTATTCTAAGTGTCCTACAACATTGTGGAAAGAATCCCTACAGAGACAGACCTTTTATGTTTTGAGTAAGAAGACTTTACCACCTTCAGAAGTGAGTAAGATCGTTCTCAATTGGACAACAGCGCAAACTGGAGAGTTGATATCCATCAAATGAACTGTGAACTGTATGCAAAAAGTTTGAGAGCGAATCCACTGAACGCAGAGATTCAAGTTAATTGTCTGAAATTTTCCTGTACTGATCAGACAGTTGCAGGAGCTTGCTGCACTAGAATCAAGAAAGATTAAGTTTATTTAAAACTTGTTTTTAGAAAACAAGACTAAAAAAACTAATTTGCAGATAAAATGGCTTAAAAAGGCCCTTTTACACTTTTACACAAAAAACAAACACTGACACCCGCTAACATCTGTCTTCTGTCTTTTGTCTTAAGGATGAAAGGGCACAATTGGCATTCACTCCCTGGTCACTGGAATTTATCTGCTCCAGCTTCGATCGGCAGTGATGTACACATGAAGCTCAGGTGGAAAATTTGGTATTAGAGGATTTTTGTGCGATAGACAGATTGTAAAATGGGCAATTCATTGTTGTCTTTATACAATGTATGTACCTGAAAATCTTTCCACATTCCAGAAAATTTTGCTTGTTTGTAGTAGGGGATTTCTAACAAGCATTTGATGTATGCAACGATAATCCCAGAACACAGAGAGATGCAGTGGATGAGAGAGCGTGAGCAATGACTCCTTGTAACTGCAAATTGCAAT